ACTCAATTTATGTTGTGTTCACTCACTTTCAGTTCTTCCAGTTTTTTTTTTCTAGTTTTTAATAAGTCTGTGATGGTTGCAGGAAACAGGCAACCTTGTGCATGATTTGCAAGGTTAAAGCCATTGTACCTTCCTCTGAGAAGTCATATCTATGCATGTAAGTATATGACAGTGGGGCAGTATCAGTAGGATTTTCCCTTTAACCCATGATCATCAAAATGGAATCACATTTTTCTTTACTGAACAAATGATCTGATCCATGCCTTTATTTAATGTTTAACTGTAATTCTTGGTAGTCCTAGCAAATCGGTGGCTTTGTATCTTTCAAAAGGTAATCTAGTTTTAAGTGTATTTGAGAGAGAGTATTTGGGTCCCCCCCCCCCATACCTCCAAATGTATTTGAAGAAGCTAGTCATTCTGCAAACAGTTGTTTCTGATAAGATACTGTGAGTGACAAAGGGTAATTTTCCAGCTTCCTAGGGTCCTTTTCTTATTCTGATGGATGGTAGAGCTTTCTCTCATGAACATAAAAAAAGGACATTTTACAGGGTTTTTCTACACCAGAAGTATGGGAAGTCTTGTATCTGACAGACTCTGACTCCCCTAACTCCCAAGACTTGGGCGGGATTTGAATCTCTACAATGCTACTTTTCTCTCTCAGTCAAAGGCTTTGTACTCACTTATAAAAAGCCTGAAGATAGAAAAAAGGCAATAGATTGAATTTGAGAGATTTTATAAATGCTCCACAACTTTCTCTTTGTCATCTACTTTTTGATGCAGATGTAGTTCAGGAATATCATTGGCCATTTTCTCCCCCAGCTACTTTTTGGTTGCATTTTTAAAGACAGTGAATGGGAAAGGGGAGCTGGAAGATTCATGGGTGTGGCAGCATTTATTTCAGCAGAGAGTCACTTTTCTATTGAATCACTTTGCCATTTCCTTAACTCAGTAACAAATGAAAGACCAGATGAAAATGGCATTTTTTTAAGGCCAAAGGAAATGGAAAAGAAAGGAAATTGAGGTGAGCATAAATGAGCTTGCACTCTTATCTCTTCATTGTTTACTTTTGTTGCATACATGGGGAGGTTGGAGATGGAGGGAATGGGGGAAAGAAAGATTTACATGTCGAACTAGCCTTAGCTGCTTAGTAGGATAAAGTCTGCTCTGCCAGAGGATAGTGACTGTCATTTATAGTCATTTATGACATAGTCTAGTCCTTAACAGTAGTACATGGCCACTCTGAACCTGTGGGTCTAGATTGGAAGGAGTACTTGGGACACCATTACCTTGGCTAGGGAAAACTGAGGACTGATTTTTTTCATACCCAATATGTTTTCTGGCCTGTTACAGACTCAGTATGGTAAGTTATTTGTGGCCCACTCAGAGTGCTTAACTAGCCTAGGGAAATTATTGGAACCTCTTCTTCTAGTTCTTCATCATTGGTTTTTGGAAGGGCAGAAATAACAAATGATTACCTGTTCTGATGGGACAATCCTTCCCCCACTCCCACTCCATCCCACCCATCCATACCTTACTAAAGAAAGCCTCAGTCCTCTATAGGGATTAAATGCAAGTGTTAATAAATGTCAGAACCAAAGTTTGTCTCCCTCCTCCATGCCAATTAAAAAATGTTGGCCTATAATCAAGTTTGGGCCTCTTGAAGAATGAATGCTATATAGAGGAGATTTATTATCACCGAATGTTGTGCATATAAATCCATTATCCTGAGTTTTGAAAAAACATAAGGAGTTTGGTTTTCTTTCTGAACATTGTAATCCACAGATAACATAGATATGAAATTACTTTGTCTCCTCATCTATTGTTCAGATAGAAAATGCAGATTTTTTTATTTGGTAGCTTTCTTTAACATAAGCAGCAGTCTCTGATAAGGTGGTATTGCTGTGCATTTGCATTGTTATAGAATTAAATTATGGATTCTGTCATTCAAAAAAGAATGCTTTATAAATCAAGTAAAATCTCATAACTAAGATGAATAAGTTTCTTTAAATCTCTTGCTGCCTCATATTCTATGCTTTAGTTTTATTGCCCAACTTGATGTAATTTTTAAAGTGTAATTCTCTTTTTTTCTATTTCTATATGCTGTTTGTGCTTTGTAAAAATGTCATTAGTTTCCCAAGAAAAAGCTGAAGAAAAGTTACTTTATGTAAAGGACAGTGATATAAAAGCACAAAGGCATGTTCAATTCTTTATCTGTAGATTGGCAGGAAATGTACCAAATACACTGTGTTCTCTCCCTTTCCGCCTTTCTCTCTCTGATTGCAGTCAATGTAAATGATATTAAAACTCTAAATTGTAACAAATGGTGAAATCTCAGTTATTCTTTTTTCTTCTTTCCTTTCTTCCTTTTCTTTTTTTCAGCTCATCTATTGTTTGGATTATGAATAGTAAAGACAGTCCTTTGTACATAGCTTTTTTGGCAAGGGGTTTACAAATTGTGTTCTAAGGTTGTATATGCTAATTGTGTCAGCAAGCTAGCTAGGTAGTTTTACAATCCTAAGGCAATTCTGCTCAACAGCTGCCTAATTTCTTTTCTCGCTGCTGGTATGTAACTGTCCCAGAACATAGAGATTAGAGCAATGACCCTAAACGTGAATATACAGCAAGATGAAAAATAATCAAAGGAGCAGGGAGGTCAGGAGTAAGTTATTTAGACCTATTTGGGGGAAATCTCCAAAAGCAGTTGCAGTTGGTGATAAGAAGGACTGGAATTCATAAGAGAGGTCAGAAGTAGAGATAAAGATTGAAGATCTGAGCAATTGCAGTGATAGATGAAACTTTGGAACAACTTTATTTCTCCAGGGAAAAAAGATTAGAGGAAAGCAGAGGATTTAGGACTGAGCCCTGGGAAACTCTTTAATGTTAGGTTGTGGGAGGAGAAAGAGAAACCCTAAAGTAGAAGTATAAACTAGCATGTTTGGCAGTGGAAGCCACCAAGTGTCACCGCCTCCTCCATGCTGTTAATTCTGAACCAGATAACCAAAGTTGTGTGGGTGGAAGGTGGACAATCTAGAGACGAAAGCCTTACGACTTTGCCTTAGATTGTGGTAGGTATCAAAAGAAGTTTATGATTGCTCTTAGGTATGCATTAATGGGAAAAGACCCCAATTCTGATTTTTAGCCCATATGAGGATTTCCTTACAGTTCCACAGTGCTGATTTTTTTAACTATTCCTACACCATCCTTATGAATTCAGAAAGATTAGGTTAATACCATTCTCAGCTCTTAACTACTAATAATTCCCCAGGATTTGTGGAAAAAAATAAAGGTATATTGAAAGAAAGATATGATTTAATTTTGTAAATCTTTTACATTTAATTAAATGTAAATTGATCAATGGGGGAAGCAAAGGGACAAACTCATGATAAAACAGTTATTTATCTTTTAATTGCTCTCATGAATTTTTAAGTTATACTCAGCTTCTTGCCAGGGGGGTAAAACTATTGCAGACATAGTTCCATTAATATAATGCTTAAAAGAGTAGTTGCAATGCTTCTGAGTTTGCATTACATGTAGTTTTTTTTAAAAGAATTATTTTATTTTATTTATTCATTCATTT